CTTACATTTCTCTACATTAAGAATTTGATAGAATAAAAAATGATAAATAATGTTTCTTTAGGTGAATATTAAAAAAGAAGTCAGCACAAAACATGGCAATTACATGCTTATCCATAAAAATCTGCTTTAAATCATCCATTTTATCTGCAGACTGCCTGCTTTCCTCAGCTTCGTTTATGCACTGGCCAGTCACAGATGAAGCCATTTCACCTTTGGTTAGAAAAACCAAGAATTTGTGGCCTACCAACCAGAAAAATAAAATAAAAGATGAATCAGAGAGAATGAAAGAAGAACAACAGATCTTGAGGAGAGAAAAACAATAAGAGAACCGCAGTCTTGCAAAAGTCCCAACCTCCATGAAATTAGTCTCCACATATTTCCTATCATCAAATATATTCTTGTAAACACTCTGTGCCCCAAACAAGAACACATCAGAATCATCAGTAACAACACCATCCAGAAGGTTTGCAAGCTCCATATAAGCACCTTGAGCTTCTGCTTCCATCGGTGCAATAATGTAAGGTAAACCAAACATTGGTAGCAATTCCTTCAAAAAAACCATACACCAAATTATCAGCAGCAGGGTAGACGATGAAAGAGAGAGATAAAGAAATCTAAATATGCTAGATGGAATGATGGAAAAGAGTTTCATAGAGTAGATAGGAATGAGTTTAGACACTAGATTTAGTAGAATTCTTATTTAAAAACATAATGATGAAATTTTGAACCCACACCTGACACTCTGCAAACATCTCACTACTAACAGATTCTGCATTCCGTCCAAGCTTTCTCTGCTCATTTGAAGGAGGAACTTGTGGCAACACTTCTCTGTGGCAGAATCTTCTTGCCGTTTGACCGTATCTGTTACTTAGGTTTGTTCTGTTTTATTTTTTATTTTATTTTATTTTTTTATTTTTTGAACAAGGGCAATTATAAGGAAAAATGGAGAAATGGATCAGCCCATGAGTTAAAGAAATACCAGTGGTATGTAGGTTAAGCACAGGAAATCAAGTAATTAACGGAATTTGAATTCCTAACTAATCTTACCCAAATACTAAGATTTTGGGATAACCCATTAAACTTGAAAGTTTGATTCATTTCTTAAATTCTATGTCTCATGTTTATGTGCTACCTAGGATTAGCATCAATAGTCCTTCAATTTTCTTCTAAAATGCAATTTCATCTTTAAAGTTTGATTTTGGACCATTTGGGATGATGGTCTAAAGGTAATGGTTAGTCATTTTGCACAAATTGTTAAGAATAAATGTTTTGTAAATTTATTTATTTTGAAACTGTTACAAATTAAATATTTGATAAAACTTTTTATTTAGTGGGTTAGGACTTGTGGATGGTAGTTAGAATCTAAACCACTGAAAAATTAAAAAAACTATTTAAGATAACTTTTTATATTAAACCACTAATAGATTATACTTTTTTAATTTTATTGATAAATTTATCTTTTTTTATTTTTTTATTTTTTCCATGATTTTTAATTAATATTTATTAAAGTAGTTTCAATTTTATTTTTTGTCTTTAATAATATTAAGTAATTATTATATTTCT